GGGCGTGTCTGTGACGGGCTGTGTCATTGGCCGGTCAGAGGGCGTGTCTGTGACGGGATGTGTCATTGGCCGGTCAGAGGGCGTGTCTATGACGGGCTGTGTCATTGGCAGGTCAGAGGGCGTGTCTCGGCGAGAAGCTGGCCAGAATGGAGCTCTTCCTCTTCTTCACCTCTCTGCTGCAGCGCCTCAAGTTCATGTGGCCCCCTGGGGCCGGACCTGCGGATTTAAAGGGGACTGTGGGGTTTGTCCGCTCTCCACACCCCTTTCACATGATCTGCCAGAGTCGGGACCCCGCCAGCCCCTCCACCTGAGTCCTGTTTAGGCTTGTTTGAACAGCAGAGCAGAGTCTGTCAAAAATAAGAACATACGCACACAAGAACACAATGAAGTGCATAAAGAGCCAAAGAAAGTTTTAACAACCCTCATGTAATGTTCACGGTGCCATTATTATAGTTGATGAACATAAGAAACATTCTAAACAAGAGGAGGCTATTCTGGCCATTTGGTAATTAGTAGTTAATTGATCCATGGATCTTGTCCTGCCGTTCCCTAAAAGGTTTCAGTAACATGACTGGGTAGCTTGTTCCACACTCCCACAATACTTTGTGTAAAGAAGTCAGGTGAGTCTTGTCCAGCTGTTTCCTGAAAGACGCCACAGTTCGACAGCTTGTTCCACACCCCAGCAATAACATTTCCATGTACTGGGACAGTTTCTTGAGAGACTCCTGTAGCTTCCTTTCCATTTTTAACACGCTGGCAATTCATGTTTGTAGTGAAAGGCTCGTCCCATTCAGGGAGATTTGAGTTGTATTTGTTTCTCCTGGGACCACTGTTCAGGATCCTATTTGAAATCTTCTTGCCTCATCTCTAATGATGTTGACACTTCATAAACTTTATTACATCGGACATGATTATGCTGAATCAGGTGTTTTGTTCATTGATTGTTTTTTCAGTTGTTTTGGAAAATGAGTACCAGGATTAAAATAAATGGTATGCAGTTTATTACCCCGTGTGAAATCAATAGCTGTGATTTGAAATCAGGTATAGAATCAGGTCATTATGTGAGAAGGCTAACTCCACATTCAACACAAAATGAAGCCCCTGTCAACCTCTATCAATAAAACTTAATATTTTGGAAGAATCCAGTGTGCTTTCTAATATATACAGTTGCTCAGAAACGTTCCATTCACTGCAGGGCGGCTCAGTTGTTTTTCACTTCATCTAGAAAGCTGATTTGAAGTCTTATGTCTCCAGTCGTATCAAAGCAGGTCTTTCATGGTCAGCCCACACTGGAACAGACGTTCCACCACCACAAGCTTGAAGATCTTCTCTTGAACACCTGCAGCACAGAACCGAAACTCACAAGTGAGGCCAGATCAGTAAATCAAGATCTGTGAGATCTACTCAGATCAGTAAATCGAGATCCACCACAGACTGTAAATCTGGCACAGTCCTGTATGAGCTCCAGATTGAACCTCAGATACTCGTCTCTTTTAAATCTGGACTGGCACGCTAATGTTGAGAGAATCACTGGGATGTCTTGCGTAAGACACAGGTGACCTGATGCATGAGGTGATGGAGGGGTTCTCACCTGCAAGAACATGCCTGTAAACTACATTGACATTGTTAGGACCCCCAGCCCCAGTGGAACAGTGTCAGGCAGCGTGTGGGTGAGCAGTCCCCAGGAGTAGATCCTGGTGAGAATGACGGAACTAGCAGGACGAGCAGTTCAGTCCCTCTGACCGGTACAATACCTTGGCTGAGTGTTTTCCTCCTGGAAGAATCTGGTGCAGCACAGCTCCTGTCCCTCTGTGTGTTATTGGTGCACAAAT